AGTTCTAAGACTAAAAAGATGAAGATAGTCCTGTCTGCTTTCACCAGGGGGCTTCGAAAAGTTCGTGCAAATTATCTTTTAATTCCCCCCCCTTTTTTTTTTAATGAACTTTGTAAAGCTTCCTCATGTTTGTCAGGATTCAATTGCAGAAAATAGAAAAACACTTCTTTTAAAAGAAATTTAATACAAAGAGTTAGATTCTTTTTTTTTTTTTTTAACTAAATACTGGATAGGCTGGAGGCGACTCCAGCTGTGACCTCTAGAACCGCAGCCTACAGCTGGCCTTTCAAGGAGCTGTTCTGCTACCTCTCCTGTAGTCAGGGAGCTGTGGTGTGGTGTGTGGTGTAGTGGCAGCTGCCCTTGATAGGACTATTATCTGTACCTACAAACTGGCTGCCTTTTGTTTCCTGGCCTCTCTTTCTAAATCACTGTGTCCCAAGTTTAAGTCTCTCCAGAGGACCTGATTGGCATGCTCTTGATCACAGCTGGAATTCTGGCTGCTAAAGAGTCTGGGAAATGTAGTTCTTTCTTTTCAGCCTGTGCTGCACATGAATTATACCAGGAACTTGGAATAAATGGTTCGAAAAACCACATATGACTACACCTTCCCCACTGCCCCTGAAAAGGAAAGACAAGTATTTAAGTCACTTCTGGATAGGCTTTTGAATAGATTGGGTCCAGGATGGTGTACCAGAGGAGTAGGGGTTGATGGTATGAAGCCTTCCTCAGGAAGGTGAAGCAAGCATTGAATGACTGAAGCTAAGGGAGTAAATGAGATTATTCAAGTATGCTTAGATCTCGTCCATTGGATTTTCTCCCAGAAACAGGAACATAGCCTTGTAACTGAGGACTGGTGTGAAGGTGCTGATGACTGGGGGAGTGACAGTGAACAGACGCCTTTACCACAGGCTACTTTGGACTTTGGAAATGATTCAAACAGTGCCAAACCCACAGACTGGTCAGCTCAGCTCCAGAATCTCAGCCTGCAGGATGCTGGGCTAGGTGCTGCTCATCACGGACCTCCTGGGGAAGAACTGCCCTTGCCTACGGTGCCACAGTTCCTGCCCTACTACATCTGTGTTGTGGACGAGGAGGATTATGGGAACTTTGTCAATCTAGATCATGCCCACAGCCTCCTGAGGGAGTATCAGCAGAGAGAAGGCGTTGACATGGAACAGCTGCTTTCCCAAAGGTGAGAACATGCCACTGCTATTGAGTTGCCTTGGGCAGGGAGCTACCATAGTTGGGTTTTACTCCAGTACCTGGAGGGACTTTTTCAGGCTGGACTGAGTGAGCAGGACCTTTCTGTTTCACTCTTGGATGTGGAAGGAAATAGAGACAGGGAGGATCTCCTTATGAGTGATCCTTGAGTGAGCTTAAAGCCTTTTCCTCTATTTATAGTGCCCGCAAGGAAATGAACAAGTCACAGAAGTCAGAGATGCCAAATATTGATAGAAGATAGGTTCACTATTTCCCTAACTTCCTTTATTTTCTTATTTAAAAAATATATATATCTTTATAACAGAAATAGGTGAGTTAGAAAAATGCCACTCCTAGCTGTGTCTTGAGACTTGGTCCAGGACCTGACAGTCTAGGTAGGCTTAAGGCCAGACTCCCATTGACTCTCCCAGAACCTTAGTTTTCACATAGAAGCGATAATAATATTTTGTATATTGGTGTGGCGCTATTTTGGATAAGCACTGGACTGTTAAGAAGCTGCACTTCAGAAACCCTATACAGAGTCATTATGAGTTGGAATCAACTTGACAGCCGTAAACAACAAAAATAGACCTCATCAGGTGGTTTGAAGAGTCAAAAGTGAATAGCCCTTGAAAGCCTCTCTACACTAAATGTTAGTAAGCATGATTATTTTTGGTATTATAATAGCCCCCAACTTCCAACAGGGTTCTGCTTCCATAACAGTGTTTGAAGCTGGTTCTGACAAGTCAAATGTATCGTCATCATTTTTTAGTTTTCATTATTATTGCATTTTATTTTCAGTGTCTTTATAAATCCAATCTTTACTTGTCTTTGGGGATTGAGAACATATAAACTTATTGCTTGTTGTTCAACTCATAGTGACCCTGCTGCATAGGGTTTCCGAGGAGTGGCTGGTGGGTTTGAACCACCAACCCTGTGGTTAGCAGCCCAGTGCTTATCCTACTGTGCCTTACCGGGACTCCGTATATAAGCTTGGGGGTGGTGTGCCATGAAGTCAGTTCCGACTCATAGTAACCCTGCATATGGTTTCCAAGGCTGTAGATCTTTATGGGAGCAGAAAGCCTCATCTTTCTCCCATGGAACAGCTGGTAGTTTTCAACTGCTGACCTTGAGGTTCTCAGCCCGACTTGTAACCACTATGCTACCAGAGTTCTTTATATGTAAGCTTAAATGTATCTTAATACATACATGCATAAAAAATACACATCATAAAAACTTGCTCTGATGGTGAAGTTGGTGTTTTGTCCGTTCATTATTAACTCTACTTGTTGAAGGTCTGGATCATCTGAATAATTTGTGGTGAGGATGCTGTTTTCAGTCAGAAAATTAGTGAGACTTGTCCTTTTCTTCTTCTCTCCATAAATCTCATGGTAGCATCGTGCAGCTCCCGACTCTGCCTGTTGGCTGCAGCCAAGTGGTCAGTGTTTGGGCCCATGTTTTCAAGCAACTGAAGTCCCAATTTAGTTTAGAAAACTTAATCTATACGGCAGTGTTTTTGAATAGTAAATCATAAAAGTGAACGTCTGAGAATGATGACACCAGCAGATGGCACACTACAACCTTGTACATAGTACATGTTGTTAAGTGCCGTTGAGTCAGTTAGGACTTAAAAGCAAACCCTGTGTAGGGCTTCCAAGGAGCTGCTGGTGAGCTTGAACCACTGACCTTGCAGTTCAAACAGCTTTGCAGTCTGGCGCATTAATCCACAGCGCCACACCAGGACTCCCCTAGTACATATTATCTATGATAAAATGGGGTTTGGGGGTTGGGAGACAAGTGCAGTTTGTCATAACTGGAATACATCATAAGTCAGGGATGCTATCTGTAATAGCATTTGGAGAGATTACCTGGTTCTTTACAAGAATTGTTTCATTTGCAAGCCTTGTAAGAATAACATTAACAGATAGTGTATGAAGGTGTGCTAGTAATTAAAAATATAAAGGGGCTTCAGAAAGTTCATGGAAAAATGGAATGAAAAGATAATGGATTTTTGCCATGAACTTTTTGAAGCCCTCTTGTATAACGGAGAGAGAAAAAAACATTTTGCCTAATAGACAGTTATCCCCGAGTTGAAAAGGACTTCAGGCAGGGATTGGGAGAAGGGGGGCTTGGGGACTGCTGTTTTCCGAGATTAACTGTTAAATTGTTTTGATGTTTAAATTGTGTGTCTTTGTTTGATGATTTCTCTTTTGGTTTCTTTTGAAGAAAACTATCTTGGTTACTCTTTTAAGTACAGTCTGATTCTCAGGATATAAGCACTCAAAAGGTTTTCTTCTTCTCTTAGTCTTTCTAGTGATGGTGATGAAAAATATGAAAAGACCATGATTAAAAATGGAGATAAGATGTTTTACAAGTTTATGAAGAGGATTGCAGCTTGTCAGGAACAAATCTTGAGGTAAATGAGACACACTTTATTCTTTCTGATTATAAAAGGAACATGCTTGAGTTTAGAAAACACTAAGTGAGGAAAGCAAGTATGATGAGAAAACCAAAATCCACAATATTCTCACAACCAAGAGAAAACCACTGCTAAGAACTTAGATATTAGCTTCACATATTTTTTATGCATTTACATGCATATAGGTAAGGAGTACAGTGGCTCTGTATGATAAGCACTGGACTTCGAACCACAAGGTCTGCGGTTTGAGCCCACCAGCAGCTCCACTGGAGAAAGATGAGTCTTTCTGCTCCTGCAAAGATACACAGCCTTAATGACTACCAGGGGAGCAGGCTTGCAGGGGACACCCTTTGGTTGGTTGATGATGCAAGGAGGGGATTGTAACCATGGCAATGAAACGATATAAGATAGGATGAATGTAAAGCTAACGTTCTCCCATGTAAACTATCACATAATTCACAATAAAACATTAAGATATACAGCCTCGGGAACCCTATACAAAGTTGCTTTGAGTTAGAATTGACTCAACAGCATTTAACAACAATATATGTAGGTATATGTATTTTTAAAGAATTTAATCGAGTATTTATAATTGTTCTTTTCACTTAGTATTCATTATAAATACTGAGGATTTTCTTGCATTCACATGTCTTTGAATTTTTTTTTCTTTTGTACTGTGTTTAAATTTTAAATCATAACTAGGTAGTAAATTCTTGTGGTTCAGAATGTAAAATATATACATATGTGTATGTGCATTCATGTAAATATAATTTCTTTAAAAATATTTAACACTCTTGTCTGGAAGTGGTCTATTTTTTTCCATTGTCCAGGTTTCCATAGGAGAAATTTCTGCTTTTTTGTGTTTTTCTTTCAGTTATGATCCTTTGTGTTTTATTTACATTTTTGTTGCACATGGGACACGTTAACATTGTGATAATCTAGGATTCAGGCTTGTCTTGTTTCAAGAATTCTGTTTTCTTGGGCCTACTGCTAATCTCTTCTATTACCTCATAGGAGGTAGAAAGCACCTCCTTTGTAGACATTCTGGCACTGCTTCAGATCTAAACTGGCCCAGTCAACCCTCCGAAAACATAAATCACGCTTACCGTTGTTTTCATTTGAATCTTCACTCTAGTGCCTAACACAATAGGATAATCACTGGACTGCTAACCACGTTGTTTGGCAGTTTAAGCCCACTAGCGCTGGCACTAAGATCTAGAGCCACATGACCCATCCAGCAGCCAGAGCATCAGGGAAGAGCCTGCTTAGGGCCACGCGTGAGGAGAGCAAAAAAGCACACCCCACTCGTCTTAAGGAGCGCTGGTAGCGTAGTGGTTATGAATCGGGCTGCGAACCTTAAGGTCAGTGGTTCGAAACTACCAGCCGCTCCACGGGAGAAAGATGAGGCTTTCTACTCCCGTCAAGATTTACAGCCTCGGAAACCCTGTACAGGGTCGCTATGGGTCGGAACCGACTTGATGGCACTTAACAACAACAACAACAACAGCGCTTCCACAGGAGAAACACAAGGTTTTCTGCTCTATACATAATGATTTATAGCCTCCAAAACCCTCTACAGCGTCCCTGAGTCAGACTGACTTCACAGCACTTAATAGCAGCAGTGTTCCACTAGAGGGCACTCTGTCTCCTTGGTTCTTTCACCACCAAATTAGTCGTTCTGTTTTAGGATTTCACTCTGGTACTTTTGAGTTCTAGTTTATCTCCACGAGTTTTAGTTGTTTTGCAGAATGTTAATTTTTGAAGTGCTTACTCTGGCTGGTTTTCCCTAAGGTGGCTGACTTCAGTTGTGTGTGAGGATCGCTCCATCCTAGGCATTTTGCTCTAGCCTCTTCCAGGTGAATGCAGTCCTGGGGCTGGATCCCTTCCCTTTGCTTTGTAGGCTTGGGGCATAACCTTCTTGACTTGCACATGTGAAGGACTTCACGGGCTGCAGGTGCGAGTGTAGAACTTTGCTTTCACAAGATAAGGGTGGTGGTGGTGATGTGCCATAGAGTCTGTTCTGACTTATAGCGACCCTGCGTACGGTTGCTGAGACCGTAAAATCTTTACAGGAGCAGAAAGCCTCATCTTTCTCCTGTGGAACCACTGGTAGTTTCAAACTGCTGACCTTGAGGTCAGCAGCCCGACTCATAACCACTACGCTACCAGCGCTCCTTAAGACGAGTAGGGCGTGCTTTTTTGCTCTCCTCACGGGTGGCCTTAAGCAGGCTCTTCCCTGGTGCTCTGGCTGCTGGATGGGTCATGTGGCTCTAGATCTTAGTGCCAGCCTGCCTCGGATCTTGGTGAGATTTGATAGCACTCACAGCATCTTGGCTTACCTGTGCCGCTTCCCAAGTGTATGGTTTGTGAATTCTCATAGGGTGGTTTCTGGCCATCCTTGGTGTTTTATAATGACAAGTCCACTAATACTCTGAGTCCTATAATATTCCAGCCTGGCAGGGGTGAGATAGATACCTTAGAGGCCGTAAGGCAAAAGCTAAACTGGGGTAGGCACACAGTAGCTGGTTTTCACTAGCTCTCACCTCGGTTTTGTTCTGACCATTTCACTACATTAATACAAAAACTCTGGGGCAGAAGACAAGGCAAAGGGGATGTGTTTCCAGGTGACCCACTCTGGCAAAATCAGAAAAGTAAGTACTATTAACTAAATTCTGTGGTGAAGAAAGTATTGTAAAGATAAACTCAGAGCAGGTGAGTCTTAAAAGGAGCTCGAGGTCACGCGAATGGCAAGAAGCAGAGCTCTCCAATTGGCTGGTTTTATGCACTGAGTGGGAGGGACCTGGATTTCCTTTACAAATCAGAGAATCGACCCACCCCTACCTCTTTAAATAGTGGTAGGCCACTTGTCCTGTGACAATGGCAAACAAAAAAAGAGGGGAAGTAAGTACTGCCCCACACTGTCACCAGTGGCGTGGGTGCCTCAGACAAGTGGGCAGGCAAGAAGGACCTGTCCAGTCCTCACACATCAGTGGTCTTGCCAGGTCTGGGAGCTGCCCAACTGGCCAGACTTAGCAGCAGCAGCAGTAGCCTGGGGCTTGCACGTGGAGCCCAAACCAGCTTCCCAGGATAAAGCTGAGGCTGTCCCCTCACGGTGACTGGAGTGCATGTTTACACCTGCGCTTTTTCGGCACATGTATCTTCAATCCAACCAGGCCATTTTTTATGCCGAGTAACAGTGGAACATGAGGTCGGTAGTTCACACCCACCAGCTGCTGCTTGGAAACCCTATACAGGGTCGCTATGAGTCATAACCAACTGGACAGCATTTAACAACAGAAGTCACCAAGTGGCTACTGCATTACACCATCCCAGCAACTGGCTGCTGTCTCTTCCATACCATTTTCTACACCAGACCTGCTTGGCACCACAGGGAGCTGCCTCCCAGCCCCCCACATCCAAACCCCTTGCACAGTGACATACCAACCAACTCCAGCCAGAGAAGTTACAGCCAACCTTGTCGATTCTCACAGGCAGGACCTCAAGTCGGTTGGTATGGTTGGTGATAGTAAGCCATTTCCTAGGCAGGGGAAGAAACAATGCTCCTCACAGCTGCTTGAGCCTGTGTAGATGGCACTCCCATGAGCCAGTGGGCTATGCAGGGCCGTTCAGGTTGGTTTCCCTGTTCATGCCCAATTCTGGTACTTAGGACCCATGCTGAAACCCAGGGGCCAGAAGCTCCCCTCCTTAAAAGAAGGGGGCAGGCCCAACCCAGATGCCCAGGAAGGGGCTGCCCTACCTAGGCTTTTTGTCTTTTCCCTTTTTGTTGTTGGTCTTATGCTGGGTTTGTTTACAAACGATATATTTTATTTAACCCACTGTTAAAAATGAAAAACTCCAAAAAAAAATTTAGTGTGATTTAGTACAGGTTTGAATCTTGTGTCTTATGATGTGGGATATAATGGGACGGGTTGTTGGGCAGAAAGCATGCGTGTGATGATGTAGTGATATAGAAATCAGGAGTTAACCTCTTCTAAGCAAAAATTGTTGGTATAAATTGGAATTAGCCATGTTAGTTTCTTAGTGTGGTTCACTAGAGGAGAGAAACCAGTGAGACATATATGTGATCGCAAGGTAAATAACAGGGTTATAAAATCATAGAAAACCTGTGTTAAACAAAAATATCAGAATGTGACGCTATTGTTCCTCGACATATCCTTTATTTATGTTCATACACTTCTAAATACAGTGTTTTCCATCTCTAAACCTTACCCAAAGTATCCTTCACTCATTGATTTATATCTCATCAAAATGGCAGTTTTGGCATCCTCAAAAGACTCAAATTGTATTCCCTTTTCATTGTTGGAGTTTTGAGAACAGAAGGAATTCTGAAGGGGAAAAACCGGGGCTATTGATGGATGGGGTAAGGTTTCCCAACAAAATTTTCATGGGCAGGCCCTTGATACCATTGAGGAAGGGGCAGGTGCATTGTTGTGATGGGGAAAAGCACCTGGGCACAACTTTCCTGGCCCTTTTCTCACCAATGCAATTTTCCATTTTCTTTTTATAATTGACTCCCATGATTGTCCTGTGCCCTTCCAGACAATCTGTCAAGATTATATCAAAGAACAGTTGCCATAACCTTCTGAGCTGAAAATTTTGCCTTGAGTTTAATTGGCTCAGCAGATTCCATTGGAAGGCACTTTTTTTTTGAAGGCACCCTAATGAGACTAACACAAGTGTTAAATTACTGAAAGAACTTGTCTGCAGCCATCCATTGACCCCAGAGACATATTTAAATATTTTTTGTTTGGAATAAACTATATATGAACTGGAACCCAAGTAGCAATACTTTTTGACTTAATATAGCTAGATATAGAGATCGATCAATTGTTTTACTTCAAGGAAATGCATCACATAATTGTGGGGGCTGGCAGGTCCCACATCTAAGGTCAGGTGCCAGGAATTGGAATGTCAGGTGACGAGAAGATTGCAGGGTCAAGATAGAGTGAGTGGACAAGGTGGCAGAGTAGGCAGATGCACTGAGCAAAACTCTGTTCAAACACTTGGAAGACCTAGTAAAACAGATATGGATGGTGGCTCTGGTGTCCTAGCCTCTGAAACTCAGACTTTCAGAACCACCACCTGCAATCTCTGCTTGTTTGAAAATTACCTAAGAATGAGTAATGCGAACAATGGGTGGTCCAGAACACTTAATTGCACTCAGGAGGAACCTGATAGATCAAAACAGAACAAGAGGCTACTGACTGGTTTTAAATCAGGAAAGGTGTGCGCCAGGGTTGTATCCTTTCACTATTCTTACTCAATCTGTATGCTGAGCACAATCCAACCAGCTGGGATATATGAAGAAGAACGTGGTGCCACGATTGGAAGAAGATACACAAGGACCTGTGATCTGCAGATGATACAACCTTGCTTGCTGGAAGTAAATACAGAAGACTTAAATTAATTATTGATGAAGATCAAAGACTATCCTTCAGTATGGATTGCACCTCAGTGTGAAGAAAACAAAAATCTTCATCACTGGACCAATAAATAACATCATGATAAATGGAGAAAAGATTGACGGCAAAGATTTCATTTTGCTTGGATCCACTGTCAACGGTTATGGAAGCAGCAGTCAAGAAATCAAAGGACGTATTTGCCTAATGCAAAAAAAAAAAAAAAGAAATCAAAGGACGTGTTGTATTAAGCAAAGATGTCAGTTTGAGGACTAAGGTACGCCTGACCCAAGCCATGGTATTTTCAATAGTCTCACATGCATGCGAAAGCTGGACAAGGGTACCAACAATTGTGAGGATGGCATAGGATCTGGCAGGGCATTGTTTCATTCAGTTGTCCTTAGGGTTTCTATGAATTGGAAACTACTTGATTTGAGTATATCTGCTGCCAAGGACTTCCTTAAAGTGTTTTAAAAAGAAAAAAGCAAACATCACTTTAAGAACTGAGATGCTCTTCTGCTCCCGTAAAGATTTACAGCCTCAGAAACCCTGTGTAGGGTTGCTATGAGTCGGAACCACAGCAATATGCATGTGGGTGCCTGGTGTGGTGCTGTGGGTTAATGTGCTGGACAGCAATGTCAGTTTGAACCACAGGGTCGGCAGTTCAAGCTCACCAGGAGCTCCTTGGAAACCCTATACAGGGTCACTATGGTTTGGAACCAACTCAGTGGCACTTAACAACAGCAACAACAATATGCATATGGAGTCCTGGTGTGGTGATGTGAGTTGGACTGGACTGGACTACAAAGTTGATTTGAACCTCAAGGTTGGTGGTTCAAGCTCACTAGCTGCTCCTTGGAAACCCTCTACAGGGTCCATATGGGTCAGAATCGACTTGACTGCACTTAACAGTAACAGCAATATGCATGTAGAGTCCTGGTGCAGTGCTGCAGGATACTGCACTGCATGCAAGGCCAATTTGAGCTGCAAGTTTGGCAGTTAATACTATACAGAGTCACTATGAGTGAGGACCAACTTGACAGGACTTAACAACAATGTGCATATAGGAGTCCTTGTGTGGCGCTGTAGGAAAAGCACTGGATAGCAAGGCCATTTGAACTGCAAAGTCGGTGGTTCAAACTCACCAGTTGCTACTTAGAACTGACTCAGTGGCACTTAACAACAACAAAAAATATGCCTGTGGGAGTCCTGGTGTGGTGCCATAGGATAAGCACTGGACCACATGGTTAGCAGTTCAAACCCACCAGTCACTCCTCAGAACTGACTCAATGGCACTTAACAACAGCAATAAGAAAAAACAAAGAGGAATTGATACATGTGAACTATGGTGTAGACTATGACGACCAAATATTGCATGTTCTGCCAGAAGAGTGACTTACTTGCAAGAAGTACAGCCAGAAAGCTCCTTTGAAGCGAGAATGGTGTGCCTTCATCCCACGTACTTTAGACGTAGCTTGTCTTTTCACCTTTTTAGGGAAGTCTTTTGATAAACAAAAGTATTGGATTTTCTGCATACATGCTTTGCTTGGTTCAGTATTTACATGGTTTTTTCACATCCTTTTGCTTTCAATCTGCTTATGATTTTAGATATGACATATTTCTTAAGGAGTTTATGGACTTGGGTATTTTGTTTATTATACTTGTTTTTTTTAATTCAGATTAATATTTTATGCTTGTTTTTAAAAACTTATTTTCAGTAAATTTAGTATTGTTAGTTCCCGATTTTATCTCCTGTGTGGGATAAAGCACTGGACTACAAGGTCGGTTTGAATCACAAGGTCGGCAGTTCAAACACACCAGCTGCTCCGTGGAAACTATACAGGGTCACTATGAGTCGGAACTGACTTAATGGCACTTCACAACAACAGATTGTCAGTTTTACAGTCAGCAGATCATACATGCTTCGTTTCATGTCATTGGTTGCAATCCCCTCCTCCTCCCTGTGGTTTCCGTCTCCATTCTTCTCTCCCAATCCTTCTGAACTTTGTCCTTGAGTAAGTGCTGCCCCTCTGATAGCAAATGGTTGGCTGTTTTAGGGTGCATGTACCTCACTAGTGTTGTTCCCCCCTAGATATTGCTTGGCTGACAATTGATCCATGGAGTGAGTTCAGTTCCAGAGCCAAAGGGTTACCAAGAGGGCCGTAGCCTCAAGTTTCCACCAGTCTCTTTTTCACCAGTATACCCCTTTCTTTTACCATTTTGAGTTTTGTCCCCTATTTTCTCTCACTCCAGGACTTTGTAATGTCTTCTCTTTCACAGGAGTTGGTAGGAGTTGCCAGGCACCATCTAGTTGTTCTGGTCTCAGTGTCGTAGAGACTGATGTTAATGTAGTGCACTAATCCATTGGACTCAGTGTTTCCGTCTTCAATTTTCATCACTCGTCTTCAATTTTCATCACTCGTTCCTCCAAACAGGGTTATCTCCAGCTTTGATCTTTTACCTAAACCTCGTTCTAATGCCTTTTTTTTTTTTAATGGCAGTTTAAGTGAAAGTTTAAAGAGGAAATTAAATTCTCAATTCTAGGATTTACGTACATTTTCTCTGGGGCCATTGGTTGCAGTCCTTTCTTCTCCCTTTCTCACTGGGCTCCTCATTTCCATTTGTCCTTCTCTCCTGTCGCTTCCTGCCTTCTGAGCTTAGCTTCTGGGCAGATATTCTTGTTTTGATCTCGTATCATTGATGGTATTGAGCAATACTTTCTTCCATGGTGAGATTATTCACTTTGTATTGCCTTTTTAATCTTTGCTTTAGTGATTATAATGTACATCTTCGACTTCAGGTATTTCAAATAATATTTTGCCACTTGATGTACAACAAAATAAGTTTATTTACCCATTCCTTTGTCCTTTGTGTTTTTGTTTTCATATATTTCGCTTCTGTGTATGCTGTAAACCCCATGTTACTAGTTTTGCTTGAAATGTTGTTGTTAAGTGCTGTTGAGTCGGTTCCGACTCATAGTGACCCTGTATAGGGTTTTTGAGGAGCGGCTGGTAAGCTTGAACTGCCAACCTTGCAATTCAAACCGACCTTGCAGTCCAGCGCATTAACCCACAACACCACACCAGGACTCCTTTTACTTAAAATAATTAATAGTTTTTAAGGAACCATGCTCCCTTTGGAAGGCTGATGGGTGAAGGTTTATAGCAGTTTAATTTGCATTTGAGCTGAATCTGGGCTTCCTTGCCATTGTAGTTAGCTTCAATTCAACATTGCCTTTAGTTCTTTCATTGGGACTTTGAATCAAGCATTGACAAGACTGTGTATATCTTTCTGCGTTTAACAGTTTTGCTGCTAGTTTTGGGTTCCCACAAAACTTTCTTTGCTCTCTCGTTTTGTTCATTGCAAGAAAGTAAGTTTGAAAAGCATGGCCCTGGATAGTGGGATGTGACTGGTGTGGCTGATTCAGCGGGCCTTTGTTTCCTTGCCCTAGGTATTCCTGGAGCGGAGAACCACTCTTTTTGTCCTGCCCTACTCCAGACGTCAGCGAGCTGCCAGCCTGCCCCCACTGTGGAGGCCAACGGATATTTGAATTTCAACTTATGCCAGCACTGGTCAGCATGCTCAGAAGTCCTCATTTAGGTAACTAGCTCTTAATTAGAGTTTGTGGATTTCTGGCAGCATTTGAGAATTATTTTTAAATGGTGAAAATTATATTACTTTATTTTTTGCTTGTAACTTATCTTCTTACTAGATAGTATATCTTCAAATGATACATGCTTTATAGAAATTTTGGAAAATTCAAATTACTTTAAGAAAACTCATAATCCAACCAAATCTAGCACAAACACTGCTACCACTTTGATTTAGAGCCAAGTTGCTTTCTTTGACATTGTTTTTTTTCATGGCTGTATTGTGTAATAAAAATTTAGGCATTTTACTTATTTTTTTAAAGTAGCCTTTAAAATTATTGTAATTAGTGTATTTATCGTCATTGTGTTGTCTTTATCTCATTTTTAAATTTTTTTTACAATATCAAAGAATTATTTATTTAGGACTTTAATTAGCAATCTTGAAAACGAATATTCACTTCAGAATTTAGAGGCAAAACCATGAGCTGAAAAATCATTGTTTTTCTCCAACTTGTCAGGCTAGAGCAGAATTTAAACGCAGCTAGACAGACAGCTCTGTACAGCCTTGTTGAGTCAACGTTGTCTGGAAACTGGCTTCATGAGTCTAAGATCTAGTTCAAGGGCATTCATGGCTTCCTCAAGTCTCAGTATCCTTTGCTCTTGTTGCTGGTGGTGGCACTCAGCCAGAGTCTGGAGCACCATTTAGCCCTTAACTTGTACAAGTAAGATCCATAGACCACAACCTCAGTAAAGTTCGAGGAGACCAAAACCTTCGGTTTGAGCGTAGTCTTGCTCACTTGTCAAGGTACAGGCTTCAAGATCCATGTAGACCAGCAGCTCTGTAGGGACCTGAAGGACCTTGGGATCTTCCAAGTCTTCAGGAGATTTCACCACTGGTGGGATAGTTTCCATTCCGGATGCACTCCCATCTTGAGTTCCACCGTGTTGTCTTTATTTTTATAATTTCTTTGGAAACCTTTTATTGTAACTTGAGTGAAGGTTTATAGAGCAGATCATCAGTTTTATATCATAGCCAACAAATCACGCACTGTGTTTCATCTGAATGATTACAATCTCCTTCCTCGGTGTTACAACAGATCTCCCACTTCCTCCCTGTGGTTCCTATATCCATTCCACCCGCCTTCCCAATCCCTCTGAACCGTGTCCCCAGGGAAATGCTGCCTTTTTTGACTTAGAATATTTGACCATTCCATGGTGAGCATCTCTTACTAGTGTTATCCTCTATAGTTACCTGTCGCTTGGTTAAAGATTGAGCCACAAGGTGTGTTCATTCCAGACCTGAAGGGTGACTGAAGGACATAGTGTCAGGCTCCTCCAGTCTCTTTCTGACCAGTGAGCCTAGTCTTCATTTTTATAAACTTTTAAGAAAAACCTTTTATAATAAAAGCAATGCATGTTTGTGATGAAAGATTCAAACAGTACATAAATGTATGTTGTAAGCTATAATTCAGTAACAAATCATTCACCATTAAGTCAATTCCAACTCAGGGTGACCCTGTAGCATATCTCACAGTAGAACTGTGTTCCCTAGTTTCCTTTTAATTGCAACTTTTAAATTCTGATTTGGGCGAAAGTTTGCAGAGCAAATTGGTTTTCCAGTCAACACATCATCCACATTTTATTTCATGACACTGATTGTAATCCTCACCATGTAATAGCACCCTCCCCACTTCTTCCCTGTGCTTTCACCCTCCAGTGGCTGGAACTACAGAGATGTTCTCATGGCTAGGCTGTATGGTCATTCTTGCTGTCCCATGTCTGGTGAATGGGAAAGAGCAAACCCTTCCTGCCTCTACACACAACACAACAAAACAACCAACAATGCAAAGAGCAAATCATTAAGAGGAGAAAAAGAACGTAATAGTGATAAAGACAAAAGAAGGACAGGGAAATGGAGCTATAGAAGAGAAAACAGTAGAGGAAATAAAAGCAAGAAATTCAAAAACACAGAAAAACCAAGGAGAGGGAAGATGAAAAGAGAGAGTAGAGAATAGCAAAGAAAGATCAAAAGGGGGGAAAAAGAAAAAGAAATGAGAAACAAGGAAAAATAAAAGCTGAGCTAGAAAGGATGAACTTCAAGAGAATGAAAAGAGAAGAAGGTTGGGAAAGAATAAACAAACAAAAACAAAGAAACAACAAAAAAGCTAAAAAAACAAAAACCGGTGCAGCTCTTGTACCTGGAGGAGGAGAAAATTCTGGTGGGCTCCTACAAGCCAAGGAGCTTATGGGGGGGAAGCGGTGCCAGCAGAGTCCCTGGCCCCAGATGGAGTCCTATTTACATTGATATTATCTATAGTAATAGATAGCACCCCGGGGGCAAGGTGCCTAGTCAGATGCTCCTCTGGTGGCTCTGTGGGCTCTATAGGTCTGGAGCAGATCCCACCTGAATCCAGGCATCAAAGCAGCATAGACAGCACCTACCTCACCCTGGTGTGGCTCACAGTCACCCAGCTGGGAACTCCCAGAGAGCAGGGTCCAGGCTGGGGTGGCAGAGAGTGGGAGCTGACCAATCTCTGGTTATCAGGGGAGCGTGGGGGAAAGAAGGACTCATCCTTCCCTGTTGTTTGTGTGAATCTGCTCTGCCAGGCCTCCTTCTGTTACTAAGCTGCTCACAAAAGTTCAAGATGGATACTGGGAGAGAGGGTAGACCCATATTAACATGGGTGACAGGGCGGACAATATGTAACAAGAGGGAGGTTAGCAGAGGAAATACGAAGGTAGTAGTGGGAGACGAGACGTGGTGAGGAACGCAGTCATTAAAGTGAATTGAAGTAAATGCTGTTAACTGTTGCTAGGGGAAGGGATTGCAACTGTAATGAAGCAGAGTATGCGATTTGTTGAATGTAAAACTGATAATCTGCTCTGTAAACCTTCACTCAAGTCACAATAAAAAGTTTAAAAAAAAAAAAGATAGTGACTCTGCTCATCACCCTAGAAGTGTCCTCAGTCAAGCCTCTCTGCGAGTGTATTGTGATGTCCCTTCCAACCTGAAGTCACAGATTTGCTTATTGTCATAGGTTCATAGACTTTTTTCTGTCCTTTGAGGAAAAGTTTTGCATTATTAAGTAATCTTTTTCTGTAGATATTTGTAAATTCTTTTTACCAGGTTGAAGAAATTTGTCTGTTCCTAGGTTTAACATGTTTTTGAATAGCCATATGTATACATATTATTTTAAAGCAATGATTAACAGTCCAGTTGTATGATTTGTTGTTAGGTGCCTTCAAGTTGCTTCTGACCCATAGCACTCCTATGCACAACAGAAGGAGCCGTTTCTCAGCCCTGCCCTGGCCTGGCCTCACAATCACTGTTACGGTTGAGCCCATTGTTTGTGCAGCTCTTGTCAGTTTGTTTCATTGAGGGTCTTCCCCTTTTTCACTGACCCTCCATTTTAGCACACATGATGTCCTTCTCCATGGACTGGTCCTTTATGACAAGTGCAAAGTAAAAGACACGAAATCTTGCCATCATTACTTCCAAGAAACAACCTGGCCATACTTCTTCCTAGACAGATTGATTGTTCTTCTAGCAGTCCATAATACTTTCAGTATTCTCTCCGAACACCATAGTTCAGACGCATTGATTCTTCTCCAGTTTTCCTTATTCATTTTTCAGCTTTCACATGCTTATGAGGCAATTGAAAACCTCCATGGCTCTCCTTAGACCTTAGTGACAGCTTTGCTCTTAGGTCTTTCGCAGCTTTGTGTAATGCAGTTTATTGTTTGATTTCTTAACTGCTTCTGTGTGTGTGAATTGTGGAGCAAAGTAAAATGAAGTCTTTGATAACGTCAGTCTTCCTTTTTTGTTGTTGATAATTGCTGTCAAGTCGGTTCTGACTCATATCGACCCTGTATATGGTTTCCAAGGAGTAACTGATGGGCTTGAACTGCCGGCTGTGTGGTTCACAGTCCAGTCCTTATGCTACAGCCACACCAGGATCCTGTCTTCATTTATTATGACATTATATGTTGATAGACTTGTGACGATTTTCGTTTTCTTTACATTTGAGTTACAATCCATAACTAAAGTTTTTGATTTTCATCAATAAGTTCTTCAAGCCCTCTTCACTTCCAGCAGGCAAGGTTGTGTCCTCTGCATATCAGATGTGTCTTCCTCAAATCCTTATGCCATGTTCTCTTCTTCATGTAAATCCAGTTTTCCTGAGCATTTGCTCAGCATACAGATTGAATAAGTATGGTGAAAAGATACAACCCAGATGTACACCTTTCCTGATTTTAAGGCATTTACTAGCCCTTTGTTCTGTTCAAGTGACTGCCTGTTGGTCCGTGTACAGGTTTCTCAGCACAATTCAGTGTTCTGGAATTCCTGTTCTTCTCAGTGCTATCCATAATGTGTTATATGATCCATAGAGTCTAATCCTTTGCATAGTCAATAAAGCAAAAGTAATCATCTTTCTGGTATTCTCTGTTTTCAGCCAAGATCCATCTGACATCAGTCAACAGTGATTTCCCTCTGTCCATGTCCTCTCCTCTTGTAAATCTAAAAACAGGAAATGCAACTTTTCTACAAGAGCGGGATGTTTATCAGTAACTTTGAATACCTGAAGATTTGGTATCAAAACCAGTTGTCCAGTTATTAACTCCTGTTTCCTGTGTTCTGATTTCAGCTGGACTTCTTGATCTCTTGCTGTCACTCTTTCTCTCCATCCATTGATAAATTTCTATAAAGTCCTAGGATTCATTTTATGTTGTTTCCCTGAATCCTTTCAGGGTCGTGAGTTCTGTCGTATGATGCTTTTTTGAAACTTTGTGAATTGAGTGAAGGTTTACAGAGCGCATCATCAGTTTTATATCAAACAAATCACACACTTTATTTCATCTCAGTGATTACATTCACCTCCATGTAACAAGTTATCCCTTTTCTTCCCTGTGCTTCCTAGTTCCATTCCACTCTCCATCCTAGACCCTCTGAACCTTATCCTGGGCCTTGAGGGTGAGTCCCATTTCCGACCTGGGGGGTGGCCAAGGGGCATAGGGTCAGGTTCCTTCAGCCTCCTTCTGACCAGTAGGCCCAGTCTGTTTTACCTGTTTAGGTTTTGTTCCACATTGTCTCTCACTCTTATCTGGAACCTTCTTATCCCTTTCAGAGCAGTTGGTAGTGGTAGCAAGGCACGATCCTGTTCTTCTGGTGTCAGAGTCCTGAAGACTGATATTCATGGGTTCCATTAATGCACATGTATCTTCAGTTTTCATTTCTTATTTCTGCACATGGGGAGACCAATAGTTGCAACTTAGCCACTCATGAACTTTTAAGATCACAGTGTGTGACGTATGTTAACATGAGTTTTCAGGGTCAGCGTGGACCATTGGAGTAAAGAAGACTCCCTGAGACTTTTGCTTATTAGCAGGGTATTTTATCCTGCTACTTGTGATTAAATCTGCCTTTTGTCATCAGTGTTCACTTACTACAGGAGAGACTGTGACTGTGTTGTATAGTGAATTACTTAAGTGAGTCTTCTGGTCATTGTCCTCCCTTTTGTGATGTATATTATAAATCCTAACCTTGTGGTTGTGACCCCATTTGGGAGTGAGTTGTCTGTTGTTATGTTAATGAGGCAGCTTTAGGAATGGGAGGATGTATCTTATTTCAGAGGATGTGACAAGTTTAGTTTCTTTGAGGATGTGATCTGCATACTATATACAGGAATGCTGTGGCAAATTTTTTTAATCTTCCTTTGGATTCTACACCTGGCTTGTCTTCATTTGACCTTTGGTTCTTGGGACTTGAATATAGCAGTCTTATCATTTGACCCAACTCACCAACTTCCACAGATGTTGACTTGCCAATTTGAATTTGTCAGCCTCTGCAGCCACTAGTGTCAGGAGACATCCCTAGACTGACATCAGGACTTGCCAACCTCTACAACTTCATGAGCTATTTCCCTGATATTTCATGAGTTTTGTGAGACATTGCATACAAAGACTGGAGGAATCCTACTGAGGGCAGGAGGAGGAGTTAGCATTAGAGATGTCAGAGAGATACAGTGGTTTGGGGAAATTGCACATTTGGGACATCTTTAACTTCTGTCTCATAGGAGCCAGCTTTGTACTGATTCTTCTGAAAGAAATTACTCATGCAGTCAACACTGCTTTTAGGTTATCCAGTTGTCTTTCTGTCATGTAAAATGAAATCATTCTGTAGTAGTAACATATTACTTGTCATTACACAATCTTTCTCCACCCCTTCTATTATCTTTTAATCATTCATTCTCTATTTTATTATGAGCTTTTAAGTTGTGCCTGTCTCTTTTCTGAACATTTTACAAGTATTGGCTTATTTAATCCCCATTCACAACAATCTTAAGATAAATAATATTATCACAGAAAGGTAAAAGGAACTTGTTTAATGTGGTAGAGCTGATATTTGAATGTACGCAGTCTTGCTTTAGACTCTATGCATTATCCAGTAAGCAAACTTTCAAATATTGTGTGTATCTCATAATACTTTCTCTTCACTGGAATCCTTACTGTGTTGTATTTTCCAGGTCTTTCTGTGGAATTTGGAACAATTATAATTTACACATGTGAGAAAAGTTGCTGGCCTCAAAATCATCAGACTCCCATGGAAGAATTTTGTATTATACAAGATGACCCAGATGAATTATTATTCAAGTAGAGTATTTTGTTTCATTTGTGTAGATTAAAACAAGTATTGATGACCAAATTTGGTGTGTTTACCTCATTTCAAGTCATAAGTTATTAACTCTTATTCTTTTCATATGTAGCCCATTTTTGGCACCTGTGCTTGCACTAGAGCCTGGAGGTGGAACCTCCTGACTCTGGGTCGGCTCATCTGCTCTCCAAGGTCAGTGCTCTGTCCCTACCTGTAGAGGCAGGGCAGGTGGTTCCTCTCCAGCCCAGAGGGCAGCTGTATCCTCACGGGCTACCTCCTGGGCATCTGGGAGCAAGGGAGAGCAGCTGAAGAGCAGCTTCCTATTACCCTTGCCGCCTCTGCACACTGCTGCCATCTCTGGATATTGACAGGTCAAATCACATGATCTGTTCCTGATGCCTGAGGCACCAGCCCTGTGACATTGCCTGTGTAGACCTGCCCGCCCAATGTTCACCTGCCCTGGGTTCCTCCACCTTACCTGCTCCCACAACTTTCTGTGAAGCCTCACAGAAACCCACTGCCATGGATTTGTGTCTGCCTCACAGCAACCCTGTAGGACAGAGCAGAACTGCCCCAGACGCTTTCTAAGGCTGTAAATTGTTACAGAAATAGACTACCACGCCATTTCCCTACAGAGCAGCCAATTGGCTCGAACTATTGACTTTTCAGTTACCAACCAAGTACTTAACCACAGTACCACCAGGGCTCCTAACATCACAGAAGGGTGACCCTTACTCTCTTCTGGACATTGTCCCATCGTCCAGCTGTCCGCTCTTCCAGTCTGCCCGTTCTCCAGTTAGATTTTCATTTCCAACCCCTTCTTTATGCTGCTGCTTGAAAACTCAACCAACACTTACTGCCATTGCATGGATCCCAACTCAATACTAACTCTATAGGATTTCTGAGGCTGTACACCTTTACAGGAGCAGAAAGCCTCATCTTTCTCCCACAGTACGGCTGGTGGGTTTGAACTGCAGACTTTGCCATTAGCAGTCCAATGCTTATCCTACAGTAGTGCTACATGGCACTCTATAAACACTCCTACCTGCTTCTTCATCTGTAAATGAGGAAAATTTGGGGGTTACCATAAACAATTTGTTACTATAAGTAACACCTTGTAGTTAAGTGGCATGGAGTCGGTTCTGACTCATAGTGACCCTGTATAGGGTTTCCCAGGAGAGGCTGGTGAGTTTGAACTTCCAACCTTGTGGTTCAGACCGATCTTACGGTCTAGTGCTTATCCTACAGCGCCACACCAGGACTCCCAAGTACCACCTTGGTCCCAAATTATGGGTTGGAGCTTTCTTCAGAGTAGTGTGTGACTACAGAAGACCCCACCTGATCCTGCCTCTCTACCTCAGGTGGCTGTGTGTGTAGAATTGGAAACGTGAAGGTGCTGGCGGGTGAGGCTTTAGGCGTGTTGAGGTTTGCAGAGCCAAAGCTGAGCATAGTCCTGCAGGGAGGTTTTGATTCCTCCTTTCTCTGCCAAGCCAGAGGCGTGATGGCTGCTACTGTCACTTGTACTATGGGCAGGGACTACCTCTGACTGCCAGGCCACCTAGCAAAAAAATAACAAAACCCAGCCTATTCAGATTTAAATGGCCAGGGAGTGTGCCCCTGGCCTCCATGAGAGGATGGGGAAGACCTCAAACCCAAAAAAAGAGAAAGAAACAACAAAAACAAAGGAAAGCAAAGGGCTTCAGGGTTAGGCACCAAAACCAAACTTAGGGAAAGGAAAAGAAGGCAAGAAGCCAATAAAGCTGTCTCTCTTACTCAGTGTGGAGGAAGCATCTGGTGGGGACGTCTGTTAGGTTTAGCTCGGGTTCAGGGGTGCTAGTAGTAGGGAGGGAGGTAGCAGCTTACCAGGCAGGGCTGCCTCCCCGTTCCCCTGTTTACGTGATCTGACCTCGCTCTAGCCTTTCCTGCATTCATCAGGGCAGCAGCCTGCATGTAGAGGTGGTGAACTGATCAGTGGATGAGGGAGCGGGAAAAGGAGGACCAGTGGAAATAAACACAGGGAGGAAGCAGGATGAATGATGTTTCATTGAGGAGGTTGCAGTTGAGGTGAAATGAAGTCCATGGTTGAAAGTATCAAAAGAGAGCATTTCCAATCTTTTCCTTTTGTATTCAAATTTTTTTCTTTGAGGAGCATGAGCATCTGAAAGATACAGAACAAGAAATAAGAATTATCCACATTCCATTCCCCAGCACAATTAGCATGACTTTCCTTCCTGTCTTATATATATATATTTTTTTTTTTTTACAAAACTAAGCCTACTGTATCAATAGATTTTGTATTGTTTTCATTTAACATCTGAGCATTTCTCCCATCAAAAAATGCTTTTTTCCACAAAATAATTTTGGATTGCTTGTAAAGAATTTTTCTAAAACAGGCACAAAGATTGTTTTTGAAACTCCTTACTGTGAATGGAGTGAAGTGTGTAGAGAGCAGATTGTCAGTTTTGCATGCAACACATCCTACAGTTCATCTTGACTGCAGTCCGTCAGTGTAACATCACTTACCCACTTCGCCCTGTCTTCTTCATTTCCATTCCTCCTCCCTCCCCAGCCTTCTGAAGTTTATACTTATGGAAATGCTGCCTTTTTGATCCCTAATGGTTGACCATTCTATGGTGCAAGTACCTCACTAGTGTGGTTGCCCCCTATATACCTGTCTATTGCTTGGCTGAAAATTGAGCCACTATGGTGAGTTCAGTACCAAATCTGAAGGGTGACCAAGGGCCATAGACTTGAGGTTCCACCAGTCTCTAACCGGTGAGCCTGCTCTGGTTTTTAAAGTTTTGTTCCATATCTTTTCCCACACTCTCCAGGACCATCTAATGTGATCCCTTTCAGAGTGGTTGGTAGTATTAGCTGGACACCATTTCATTCTGGTCTCAGGGTCACAGAGACAGTTGTTCACATGGTCCATTAGTCCATTGGATGAATTGTTTCCAAGCATCTTCCATTTTCATCACTCTTAACTTTATTTCAGACACAGAGAGACCAATAGTTGCACCTTAGATGGTAGCTTATGAGCTTTTAAGATCCTAGTCGCTATTCACCAAAGGAGGTTGTACATTATCTTTGTGGACTATGTTAGGCCTAAAAACGCTATACAATTTTGGGCCATTTATATTTTATTCAATTTGTGTTCTTGTGATTAATAACCCTAGGATTAGCAATCCACCATTCATCAAAAATACCATTTCAAGATCTATCTTGAAGTACAATGCTGTCTGTGATAGGATAATATCCATAAGCCTACAAAGGAAGACCAGTTAGTACCATTAGTATGCAAATTTTGCACCAATCACTAAAGCCAGTGATGAAATTGAAGAATTGTACCAACTTCTTCAGTATGAAATTGATTAAACATGCAATCAAGCTGTATTGATAATTACTGGTGATTGGAATGCAAAGAGGAAGAATCAGTAGTTAGAAAACAGGACCTTAGTAATACACATCACATAATAGAATTTTGCTTTGCAGTCAGCCAGGTGGCATCATTGATAGCGTCAAGTGTGACAGCAGTAGTAAGATCGGTCCAGGATCGGACATTGGTTCGTTCTGTTGTGCATGGGGTCGCTATGAGTGGGTTCCGACTCGATGGCACGTGACAACAACAACAACAACAATAGAATTTTACAAGACCAATGACTTCATCACTACAAATACCTTTTCCAAATAACATAAGAAACAATTAAGTGGTGGCCAGGAGCCAAGCTTGCAGAATGTGCCCTTTGGTTGTTTAAATTATTATATATTCCTGAGTGTTTTTGTGTACATCACCCCCCCCAAAGAAAAAAGAGGGAAAAGAAGCAAATACTGTAGAATGATGATGCACAGAGGGGATTGTAATCATTGCAGTGAAATGATGGTGTAAAACTGAAGTTCTCCCATGTAAACTACCACTCAATTCACAATAAAAATAAAAATAAACAATAAAAAAAGACAATTATGCCCATGGATTTCACCAGTTGGAATACTTAGAAATCAAATTGACTACATCTGTGGAAAGAGAGGGTAGAAAAGCTCAGTATCATCAGCCAAAACAAAGCCAGGGGCAAACTGAGGAACAGAAATTGCTCCTATGCAAGTTCAGGCTGAAGCTGAAGAAAATTTAAACAAGTCCACGAGAGCCAATATATGACCTTGAACTTACCTCACCTGAATTTAGAGATCATCTCAGGAATAGATGTGATGCATTACACACTAATGACCAAAAACCAGAAAAGTTGTGGGATAACATCAACATCATACAGGAAGAAAGTAAGAAAAGAACAAAATGGATGTCAGAAGAGACTGTGATACTTGCTTTTCAGTATAAAGATGCTAAAGCAAATGAAAGAAGATAAAGAGCTAAACAGAAGATTTCAAAGGGCAGCTCAAGAAGACAAAGTCAAATATTATACTGAAATGTGCAAAGGTCTGTAGTTAGAAAACTGTAGGAAGAACATGGTCAGCATGTCTCAAGCTGAAAGAACTGAGGAAAACATTCAAGCCTCGACTTGAAATACTTAAAGATTCTCTCAGAAGGAATCCACCGAGTCACTGTACCAAAAAGAAATGGTCGATGTTCAACCATTTCAAGAGGTAACATATGATCAAGAGCCAATGGTACTGAAGGACAAAGCCCAAGGTGCATTGAAGGCATTGGCAAAGAACCAGGCTCCAGAATTGATGGGATACAAATTGAGATCTTTCACAAAGTGATGCAGCACTGGAGGCACTCATCTATCTATGCTAAGAAGTTTGGAAGACAGTTAACCTAGCCAACTGCTTGGAAGAGACCCATTCCAAAAAAAGGTGATCCAATAGAATGTGGAAAACATCAGACAATATCATATGCAAGTAAAAATTTCCTAAAGATAATGAAAAAAAAACAACTGTTACAGTACATGGACAGAGAACTGCTATAGATTCAAGTTGGATTCATAGAAGGATGTGGAATAAAGGATATCATTGATGATGTCAGATGGATTTTTGTTGAAATCAGAAAA